TGCAACGTCCTCTACTGGCGAGCCGGTGTTTCGTCTTCAAAGCATTGGAGCATTCGCCCTTGAGCTCTGTATCTGGGTTTCATATTGTCTTGAGTCTGAACTGAGAAGTGCCGAAATCAAACGAAAAGTTCTTCAGTGTTCAGTAATCTTACAATTCTAGTCTTTCCCTGAAAGCCTTCTCCTGCTATATGCAGTTCAGAACCTCACATGATAGTCCAACCCTTAGCGACACATTCTTTGGAGAACAGTGGAGTGTCCGTCCTCCATTTTGCCAGGAATTGGAACCTCTCTTTCCAGCTCAAGCCATACTCATAAAGGAAAATTTGAGGGGTAGAAAGATGGCTTAGACATCTTGCTGCTCAAATATGAGCATTGGAATTCCAATCCCAACACCCATGCAAAGGTTCAGTGTGAGTCCATGTACGCCTATAACAGAGACAGGAGGATGTTTGGGGCTTGCTGGCTGGCGGTGTAGCCAAAGCATGATCTCTAGGCTCAGGGAGAGATCCTGCTCCAAAAAAAGAAGATGGGGACTGACAAACGGGAATACCCTGCAGTGTTCTCTCTCTCTCTCTCTCTCTCTCTCTCTCTCTCTCTCTCTCTCTCTCTCACACACACACACACACACACACACACACATTACACATACACATATGCAAGAAGGAAGATGGGGGATGGGGAGGTTAGGTCACATGCTGCTCTTGCAGAGGACCTGGTGGTTTCAATTCCCAGCACCCACATTGGGTGACTCACGACTACCTGTAACTCCAGTTCCAGGATATGTAACACCCTCTTCCGGCCTCCTCAGATAATCCATGCAAATGGTGTATATGCACAGGCAAACACTCAGACATACAATAAAAATGAATATTTTAAAATAATAATAGTAATAACAATGAGAAGAATCTGAAAAATGGCTCATCATTTTTAGAAACGTGAAAAATAGCCCTGATAAACTAGTCGCTATTAGCACGTGCTGGTCATGCAAAAAGTTTGCCGTTGGTACACACAGTCCCATGTGTGAACAATGAGGCGCTCTAGCCAAGAGTCATAAGAATGACCAGGAGGAGCCAAAACTCAAAAAGAAAGAAGCCTCTCTGATTCCTTCATTTAGACTTAATGCTCCGTGTAACCTGAGACTTGAGGGATTAAGTTGTTGGCACGGCACTGGACTCGCAGGGAGAAACGTTCTTTCTCTCATTTGACTCACTGAACACGAGCGGGCTCCTCCTGCAGAATAGATGCCTCACAGATGTTACAGTTTCAAGCGTTCTACAACTGAATGAGCGCTACAGCTGAAGCATTGATTGATCGGGGGAGCGGCGCCATGGTGACTGTCTGGAAGCTGGATGAACAGAACTAACTGCAGGACAGTCTGGCCAGTGGTGGCCTCAGCTGAAGAGGCACGGAGGGGTCATTTGTTTCTCTAGATCAGTGCCCTGTGCTCCCAAAGAGCCTTTCACAGTGAACACTCTACCTCACATGCCTGTGAGGAGGAGCAGCTGGTCTCTGTGTAAAAGCCAGAAAACTAAAACACTAACAAAGGAAACACATGCCCTGTGGCAGATGTGCTGACCCTAGAGATGAGAGGCTAATCCCCAGGTACCCCTCATACTCCTTGACCCTAGAGACGAGAGACTAATCCCGAGGTATACCTCGTGAGAACAAGGGGGCAGGAGGAAATCTCTCGTCCAAAGATAGAAAAAAAATTTCTTTAGTTTTATGGAGCCTTGAGTGTAGGAAAATCCATCCATTTTTAGTATATAGGTCGATAAATGTTAACAGTTACATACAGCTACCCAGCCATAATTATAAACAAGGGAACAGTGCATTTTCAAGATCTTACAAGCAGCCAGGTACTTCTGTCCCCAGCCCACTCAGCAAACTCCGCCTAGCTTCTGTAGGTAGGGCTGTGTCTCAGCAGAGTCCCTGAACAGACCAACTTCCCTCCCAAGTTACTTCTGTCTGTCAGCCTATATGCGCCCCATCCCCAGAGAGACCCACAAGCCGCTCGGACCAGAATGTGGACTCAGTTTGTCCAAACTCCTATCCAACAACTGTCCTAAGAGGCGTCTGTGTCCGTGATAAATTACCACTGCACCCTCCGTTAGGAGGCAGGAAAGAGACATTCTTCTAGTACCCGCCCTCAGCTCTGGGCATATGGAGGCAGGAAGAGACACTCTTCCGGTACTCTCAGAGTCATTTAGCTGTGTACATGCTACCCCCGCCCCCAGAAATGGTTTAGGAGTTATAACTCCTAAAGTTGTAATTCGACAGCCACCAATATAGTCTATGGCCCAGCTATTGCTGAGTACAGCTCTCTGAGAAGTCCACACCCTTGCATGTGTCTTACTGAACGTGAAAAAAAATTGCTTTTTCAGGAGCTTTACTGACAGGTTGCCAAATATAACTATTATTTAATAATTTTTTAAAAATCCAAAATTCAAAATTCTTTGAGTGCTGACATGCTGCCACAAGTGGAAAATTCCACATCATGAAATGGTTTCATGCATAAAATTCTCTAAAATGGTGCCGAAAACTGCATCCATGCTATGTGCATGAGGCGTGCACCAAACACAAATGGGTTTCAGGTTTAGAATTGGGAAAACATTCCATTATGCATATGTAAATATTCAGAAATCTTTAACCACTCTGGTGCCAAGCATTTTGGATGCACGTGGATTCAACACTTTATAAGTTGCAATGTACCTTACATCTATGACCAGATTTGAACTTGAGGGAAATATTGAAGATAAGAAAAGTGGGACCCACAGATTATTTGTTTGTTTGTTTGGTTGGTTGGTTGGTTTTTTGGTTTTTCAAGATAGGGTTTCTCTGTAGCTTTGGAGCTTGTCCTGAAACTCTATCTGTGGGCCAGGCTAGCCTCAGATTTTTTTTTTTTTTTAAAAAGCACATTCTCACCATGTAGCTCTGGCTAGCCTGGAACTTGCTATGGAGACCAGGCTGGCCTCAGACTCACAGAGGTCTATCTACCTCTGACTCTTGAGTGCTGGGATTAAAGAAAAGTATATATCACTATGAGTGGCAAGGATATTTTTAAATTTTAACTTCAATTATATTTAATTTAAAACTGATATTTTAAATTAAAGAATATTTAATTTTTTATTATATATACAGTGTTCTGCCTGCATGTATGCCTGCATACCAGAAGAGGACACCAGATCTCATTATAGATGGTTGTGAGCCACCATGTGATTGCTGAGAATTGAACACAGGACCTCTGGAAGAGTAACCAGTGCTCTTACCCACTGAGCCATCTCTTCAGCCCCTATTTCTTAAAACTTTTATTCATTTGTGTATATGTGTATGTTTGCCATATATGTGCCTTTGGGGACCAGGAGACGGTGTCAGATCCTCAGGAGCTGGAGTTACAGGCAGTTGTGAGCTGCCCAGCGTGGGAGCTGGGAACTGAGCTGAGGGTCCCCTGTTTGCTAGAGTTCCCACAAAGACACCGGAGATGTCAATCTGAAGGAAATGTCGTGGCTCACTCAGAAAGGGTTTGGCTCTTATTTTAACAGGAGCAAGAAGTTCTGTCCATGTGTGTGAGAAGGAAAGCAGGGGTGCCCAGACCGTCACTGTGCAAGGCATGCTGGGGATTATACTAGTGGCAGTGTGAACCAATTCTTGAGGGATTGAGAGGTGGCCAGTCCCAGGTGGAGAGTAAAAAGGAGCAGGTATCAACAGGGACTCCCCTGGCTGTGCCTTGTGCCATGGACGCTGGGGGAAGCCAGAGGAGAGACCTAGGGAGCAGAGTCCCGCAGTGCAGATGGAGATCAAAGCTGCCTAGGTGCTGGTGTCTACGTGGGGAGTGTTGAAGGACCACCATAACACAGGGTAAAGATCCAGGCCAGGATTGTCTCACAGTGACCCCGACAGTTGGGACAGTTGGACGGGGTAAAGGAGAGGGGAATCTTAAAACCAGACATTCTCTCTAGACTCCTATTTCCACTTAGTTGGTGTCCTCAGAGCTTCTTAGAGAAATTCTCTGAGGACTGGAGAGATGGCTCAGTCGTCAAGAGCACTGGCTGCTCTTCCAGAGGACCCAGGTTCAATTCCCAGCACCCACAAGGCAGCACTTAACTGTCTGTTACTCCAATCCTAGAGGATCCAACAAACTCACACAGACATGCATGCAGGTAAACACCAATGTTCATAAAAATAAATAAATATTTTTTTTAAATGTGATCTCACTAGACGGTGGTGGCACTCGCCTTTAATCCCAGCACTCAGGAGACAGAGGCAGACGGATCTCTGTGACTTCAAGGCCAGCCTGGTCTACAGAATGAATTCTAGGGCAGACAGGGCTACACAGAGAAACCCTGTCTCAAAAACCAAACAAAAGGCATCCCAGCACTACAGCGGTGGAACTGAGTGGTTCTTTATGATATAGAGGACAATCTGATCTACAGGTTATAGATCAGCAAGTTCCAGGTCCTCCAGAGCCACACAGCGATACCCTATCTCAAACAAACAAACAGTGAGTGTTTTGGCCATCTAGCATGTACAGTTTCATATATGCCCACATGTGTGCATACAGCCTGAAAACAGCTTGCGGGTTGGATGTGTCAAAGCCTGGGATCATTCTCGATCACAAACCCTTTTATCAGAGGGCTTGAACCTTTTAGAAGTATGACGCTTGTCCTCCCTTGAGATGACACAGGCTGTTTCTGCCACTCCTCGGGTGGGTCCCCAGAATCCACAGCCCACCATGCCTGTGCTTACTGCTGAGGGCTCACCTTTCAGTAAGGGAGAACGACAGAAGTCTCCAGAACAGTGCCGACGTCACTGCTACCCAGGTGCTCTCTTCCTTCAGTCCTTCCTGCACCCTCACGAGGGAGGGATGCTCTCCGAAGGCTAGGTGAATGATTCTCTATGGCTAGCCATAGGGAAACAGCACTGTCCAGATTCAAATGGACCCTGTACCCTGCAAGAATCCCAGGGATCATGCCTGGGAGGGCTTCAGTGCCTCTTTTCTTTTTCAGGGGATGAACAGCCAGTACGTCCGCCGAGAGGTCTTCTGCGGGAACACCTGCCACGAGCTCAAACGCTTCTGGGAGAGAGAGATTGGCAAACAGACATACTACCGCCAGTCCGAGGAGCACCGCCTGGGAAGGAGCGCGCTGAGAAAGTATGCACCCGCATACTTTTAAAAAGACATATATTTTTGATTTATGTGTATGGATGTTGTGCCTGGGTGTCTGGGCATCCCGTGAATGCCGGGTGCTGGAGGCCAGAAGAGGGTGTTGGATCTTCTGGAACTGGAATTACAAACTGTTGTAAGCTGCCATGTGGGTGTTGGCAGCCACCTGTAATTTCAGCTCCGAGGGATTCAACACCTCTGGTCTCCTTGAGTATACACACACACACATACACACACGCACTCACGCACGCATGTACACACACACACATGCACATTATTAAAAATAGTAGAAATATGTCTTAAAATATAAGATGGATGTAGTGGAGATGGTTCTGAGGTAAGTATGGGCAACATGAAACTGCTAAAAATAAAAAAGAAGAGGGAAGAAGGGAAGGGGTAAAAAAGAAAGGAAGGAGGGAGGAAGGAAAGAAAGAAAAAAAAACAGCTACTGAGGAACTGGCTCAGTTGGAAAAGCATTTGCCATGTAAGCTTAAGGACCTGAGTTCAACGTCCAGGCCAAACATTAAAAAAAAAAAAAAAATCCAGGCACAGCAGTGCACACCAATTATCCCAGTGATGGGGAGACAGAGACGAGAGGATCAGTAAGGCCTGCTGGCTAGCCAGTCTAGCTGAATCGGCCAACTCCAGTTTAGTGAGATATCCTATATCAAAAATGTAAAGTAGGTGCTGGAGAGATGGCTCAGTAGTTAAGCGCACTGACTGCTCCTCCAGAGGATCCAGGTTCAATTCCCAGCACCCACGTGGTGGCTCACAACCATCTGCAACTCCAGTTCCAGGGCATTCAGTTCCTTCTTCTGCTCTCTGAGGGTACCAGACATGTGCATGATACACAGGCATGCATGCAGACAAAACATTCATACACATAAAACATTTTAAATTTAAAAATAAGGTAGGGAGGGGCTGGAGAGATGGCTCAGAGGTTAAGAGCACTGGCTGCTCTTCCAGAGGTCCTGAGTTCAATTCCCAGCAATCACATAGGGCTCACAACCATCTGTAGTAAGATCAGATGCCCTCTTCTGGTGTGCAGGTATACATGCAGATAGAGCACTTGTATACATAAAATAAATAAATCTTTTTATTTTATTTTATTTTTTTGAGACAGGGTTTCTCTTAGCTTTGGGACCTGTCCTGGAACTAGCTCTTGTAGACCAGGTTGGCCTCGAACTCATAGAGATCCACCTGCCTCTGCCTCCCAAGTGCTGGGATTAAAGACGTGTGCCATTACCGCCCGGCTTAAATAAATCGTTAAAAATTTAAAAAAAAAAGAAAAGAAAAGAAAAGTAAGTTAGAGAACAGCAAATAAAATACCTGACATTGATTTTGGCCTCTGCAGGCATGCATGCGCACGCGCACACACACACACACACACACACACACACAGAGGAATATGCATATGTATTCACAGAACCCCCAGTCAGAAAGCAGGTCTGTTCATTTTCATCTATGTCAGTAAATATGCATAGATATTTGATTTGCAGGTCCTCCGCACACCCTCCTAAGACCTGAGCTTACAAAGGGTTTCGGGAGGGCGGGGGAGGGGGGGAGGATGCTTCCCAGAGCCACGGCTACAGAGAGGAGGACCCAGCTGTGCTTGTTTCTATTTCCAGACTCAGGGAAGAATGGAAGCAGAGGCTGGAAACGAAGCTGAGACTGCGGAACAATCCAGAGGAGGTGGAAAGGCAGACAACTGTCAGCTGAGGGCTTCCTGCTTCCCTGACCCCTAGAGGACACAGAGCACCAGGCCACTCTGCTGGAAGTCAGTTAAAACCCAGTCCCTCTGCTGCTGCACACCCCTTCCCAACGCCCCATGGCGGCTGTTTGCCAAGACGTGCGCTCTGCGTGGAGGCCCGGCTATTATTCCAAAGGCCTCAGACATTGTGTTTTGTTTTTATATAATTTCCCTCTAGATTTAAGATCCACGTATTTTAAAGTACGTGCACTCCAGAAGGGATTTGGATCTTCCTGGTCCTGTTTTAAACATTGCATGATATTTCTGCTGCACCATTTCACCCAGGAAGCATAATTACATGCAATCTTTTCTCTAATTTTCCTTTGAAGAGAAGAGCAACATACCTATCTACAGAAACAAAAGCAGCACCCGTAGTCATAAAATAAGGTTTGTAAAGATCTGGTCTCTATGTGAACTTAAGCAGCCTTCTAAAAGCCATGTTTATCAATAAAATTTGGAGATCATTTTAATAAAGTTCAGTCTTTTACTGTCCCATGAACATGCGCGTCATTGCACGTATTTAGTTGACTCTCCCTGCGTTTGCACAGTTAGCGTCCAGTCTGTTAGCTCAACAAAACTGATGTCAGGCTATACCAAGAGGGTTTAGCAAATAGGTTCTGGACTTCGAAATTATACTATCTCTCCGTCTCTCAGGCCTCAAAGCACCAGGGTTGCTACTATTGAGAATGCAATGATAATGGCTTCTAGGAACTTTTTTTTTCACAGAAGAAGAGAGTAGAAAGGTTTGTGATTGTTGTCCATGACACCGTAACGTTTTTTAGACACAAGGGCAATTCAGCTGGAACACATAAAAATAATCTCTCAGATCACAGACAAACATATTATTGGTATCATTACACTTAAAAAGTTTTTATCTTCATTTTATTTTTTTTTATTTTATTTTATTATGTATACAATATTCTGTCTATGTGTATGCCTGCATGCCAGAAGAGGGCACCAGACCCCATTATAGATGGTTGTGAGCCACCATGTGGTTGCTGGGAATTGAACTCAGGACCTTAGGAAGAGCAGGCAATGCTCTTAACCACTGAGCCATCTCTCCAGCCCTTTATCTTCATTTTAAATTATGTGTATCTCTGTGTGTGTGTGTGTGTGTGTGTGTGTGTGTGTGTGTGTGATCTGTATCTGTGTGTCATATATATCTCTGTGTGGGTGTGTCATGTGTATCTGTGTGTGTGTCAAGTGTATCTGTGTGTGTGTCATGTGTATCTGTGTGTAGGTGTGTCATGTGTATCTGTGGGGAGAGTGTGAAAGCAGGTGCCTGTGATGGCTGTCATATCCTTGGGAGCTGGATGTACAAGTGGGTGTGATATCCCTATCTGGATGCTGGGAACTGAGCTCAGGCCCTTGGCAAGAACAGTATGTACTTTAACCACTGAGCCTTCACTCCAGCCCCAACTATTATACCTATTGATGGACAAGGAAGCAGAGGCTCAGAAAAGTGATACAGGTATAGAATTGATTAGTGAAAGAGACAAGATTCAATATTAATTTTAACTTCAAAAATAAACCCTCCTTTCAAATCATGGTGCTAGTTAATTTGTTGGAAACCAGCTTCTACAAACACACCTCTTACCAGGGTAGGGGCATGGGGATTAGAAAAAACAGTTAAGAGAATGAAGATACAGATAAAAATAATACAACAGAAACATAAGACAGTACCAGGAGGGAGTTCAGTGAATACTGAAATGGCTGTGTTTAATTGTCCATACACTTTTATACCCCAATCCAAATCTGGGAAGAAGACAAAAGGCTGCTTTAACATGACACAAAGGACAACTAGAACAGTTACTTGCTTCAATACTTTGAGCCATCAAACCATTAACATTCTGCTGTTTAGGCAGTGAACCCACCCTAGACCAAGTATCCTGTTGGCAGCCACTCCCTAGGTCAAAACTCTTCATTCAAAAGAAAAAGCAAAAGTATGCTTGAATTCTCTGACCTTTGGTCAGGGTGGAGTGGATCTACCTGTATGGGCCATCTTAATGTCCAAAACACCAAGTAACTGTTAGGAATTTTTCCTAATGCGAGAAATCCCAAACAAGCCAAATTACAACAAGCCAAATTAAGGAGTATCAAGGTTTAATGGGATTCCTGCACTCTTGGGTGGCCCCAGCGCAGAACCAGGAGGCTGCAAATGTGACCATGGGGAGGGGATATGGGGGGGCACGTGTTTCTCATTTGGGAGCTACCTAAAATACCCTGTGGGGGTGGTCCTGACCCCTCCCTAGAGCATGCTGGGATTTGGAGTCCAGGCCAATACAACTCTCAGTCCTGGAGGCTGGGGGCTAGGCTCCCAACTTAACAATAACCACACCCTAGGTCAGGGTGTGTCAACAACACTTGTCAACAACTTTGAACAAGCTGAAACTCTCTGACTTTCAGACAAGGTGGAAATAGGCTCACATTTTTGTGCCTCCGCATTCATTAACACCCATGTATTCTTATTTTCAATGATTTGTGCTTGATGGTAATGTATTTTAATCAACAGTTAAAATGCATGCCTTTAATCCCAGCACTTGGGAGGCAGAGACAGACATCTCTGTGAGTTCGAGGCCAGCCTGGTCTACAGAGCTAATTCTAGAATAGTCAGGGCTACACAAAGAAACCCTGTCTCAAAAAAGTAAAAAAAAAAAAAAAAAATCCATGTATAAGATGAGTGTTTATGTGCTAAAGTCACATTAACTAAAATGTCATCCATGGGTTTTAAACTGAAGAGTGGCACTGTGAGTCTGCACCAGGCCTAGGATTCACCATTTGGTCTTGTTCTGTCCAGTGAAATTACCTGGCACGAGTGAGAAGGAAACATTGAACATACAACAGACCCATTTAGGAGTTTATGGGGGGGAGGGGTGTACAGGCCTGGTGAGGTCATTGTGCAGAGAGAGGGGAGGATGCTGAAGATGGAGTGTCCAGGTTTTAAAGGCCACCTGGCACATGCGCACAGAGGGATGACGTGCTTACATCATACGCAGATGACAGAGCTCACGCATATGCGCAAGGGCTCACATAGTTGTGTCAGATGTAGGTGATGCAACCATGCTGCAAGTCATGCAGGGTCCTTTAAGATCCCCCAGGGCCATTAGGCACTTCTGCCTGAGGGTTTGTCTGCACGTGCATGGCCATAGAACCCGGAAGTGTCAGCCTTACGGTGGCTGAAATCATTACATTCCACCCTTTTGTTTATTATAAAAATTTGGGGAGTTTGGGGTTTTTTAATGGGTGGGAATGGGGTGTCCTACTGATTTTGTGGGCATTGTCAGGTCTCTCGAGATTGTTTTCTGCTGATTTTGTGGGTGTCGGAGAGTTGAGATGCTTGACCACGTCCTGACGTGGCTGATTTTGTGTTTTTGTCCGAGTTCTGTGGAACTGGCTGGCTGGCAGCTTGGACCTTGCAAGATGCTGGAAAGGCAGAAAATTATGTCTGGAAAAAATTTTAGATCCCGGTGATTAAGGTAGGAGAGTTCCAAGATGGAAGATAGAGGGGGTGTTTATGGGGGTGGAGGAAGGAATTTCCCAGGGGTTCCCGAGACCAGGAATGATAAGGGAAGAATTAAATGACACTTATTCTGGGCGAGTCTGGTCCATTTAGATAGGTCCAATTGGTTCCTTGGAGCTTATGTAAAAATGTTTGAAAAGAAATAAATTTTAGACGTATTAAAAGCTTATGATTACAATTGTAATGATTTTCAGCCACATAAGACTGATTCTTCTGGGTTCTAGAGTCATGCATGTGCAGACAAGCCCTCAAGCAGAAGTGCTTGAATATTAAAGGGCCCCACATGACCTACATACATGCATGCGTGGTTATCCACTATGACTCAGCTAAGCCCTTGCATGCATGCGTGAGCCCGTGATCTGTGTATGACATATTCACACCCACCCCCTGTGCGCATGTGCTAGGCAGCTTTTAAAAAGCTGGACCGCCATCATTCTCTCTCTGCACACTGACTCTCAGGCCTGTACACGCCCCCTCTAATAAACTCCTAAGCGGGTTTGTTGCGTGTTCTGTGTTTCCTTCTCACTCGCGCCAGGTGATTTCAACAATGATATAGTGTTGGAATAGAAGACAGTGGAGAGGAGGGAGGAAAAGAAGGGGGAATTATTGGAAAGGGGAATTATTAGAGCCCTCAATGTTTTACCTGAAGCAAATCTTAAGGCACTTGTTTTTTTTTTAGCATCATGGTGTTACCTTAACATCCAGGAGACACTGCCGCAGTCAGTGATAAATCTTTACCAAATTTCTTTATGGTAAAGTCTGTTTTGTGAGGTTTTGGAGTCTGGGGCTGTCAATGTCCCCAAACTTGTTATTGTTTCTTACCACTTGGGCTCTTAGCAATTTTTGTACCTCCGACTCGATGTTTAAGTATGGTCCCTGTAATAACAGCTGAGTGGTTAACTGGAAATTTAAGTATGACATTGGAGGTATAGAGAAGTTGGCAGAGTAGATAGGAGAAAGAGGAAGAGGGAAAGCATATGGAGTTTTTGGCACAGGAGAGTTGAGTACGGTGATGAAACTTTTATTTTTCTGGAACTGGAGAAAAAGTGGCTGGTCGTAGTGTCCTCTGGAACTTAAGGGAGCGGGGCCCTGTTTGAGTCACCATATATGAGGAGCTATCCTTTATTATTTTATTGTGGGTATACATTTTTAACACATTCCTATTGATATTTATTGAGCTCTACATTTTTCTCTGCTCCCCTCCCTGCATCTCTTCTCCTCCTTCCAATCGTCCCCCAAGGTCCCCGTACTCCCAATTTACTCAGGAGATCTTGTCTTTTTATACTTTCTACTTCCCATGTAGATTATATCTATGTGAGTCTCTGGGATTGTGGTTTGTAGGCTGGCTTTCTTTGCTTTATGTTTAAAAACCACCTATGAGTGAGTGAGTACATGTGATAATTGTCTTTTTGTGTCTGGGTTACCTCACTCAAAATAATGTTTTCTAGCTCCATCCATTTTCCTGCAAAATTCAAGCTGTTGTTATTTTTTTCTGTTGTGTAGTACTCCATTGTATAAATGTACCACATTTTCCTATCCATTCTTCGGTCGAGAGGCATTTAGGTTGTTTCCAAGTTCTGACTATGACAAACAATGCTGCTATGAACATGGTTGAGCACATGTCCTTGTGGCACGATTGAGCATCCTTTGGATATATACCCAAAAGTGGTATTATTGGGTCTTGAGGAAGGTTGTATTCTAATTTTCTGAAAAATCGCCACACTGACATCCAAAGGGGTTGTACCAGCTTGCATTCCCACCAGCAATGCAGAAGTGTTCCCTTTTCCCCACAACCTCTCCAGCATGAGTTGTCATCGGTGTTTTTGATCTTGGCCATTCTTACAGGTGTAAAATGAAATCTCAGAGTTGTTTTGATTGGCATTTCTCTGATGTCTAAGGATGTTGAACATTTCCTTAAGTGTCTTTCAGCCATTTTAGATTCCTCTGTTGAGAGTTCTCTGTTTAGGTCTGTACTCCATTTTTTTTATTGGATTATGTGATCTTTTGGTGTCCAATTTCTTGAGTTCTTTGTATATTTTGGAGATCAGACCTCTGTCTGATGTGGGACTAGTGAAGATCTTTTCCCATTCTGTAGGCTGTCGTTTTGTCTTGTTGACTGTGTCCTTTGCTTTACAGAAGCTTTTCAGTTTCAAGAGGTCCCATTTATTAATTCTTTCTCTCAGTGTCTGTGCTACTGGGGTTATATTTAGGTGGTTCCCTGTGCCAATGCGTTCAAGCGTACTTCCCACTTTCTCTTCTATAAGGTTCAGTGTGGCTGGCTTTATGTTGAGGTCTCTGATCTATTTGGACTTGAGTTTTGTGCATGGTGATAGATATGGGTCTATTTTCATTCTTCTACATGTTGATATCCAGTTATGACAGCACCACTTGTTAAATATGCTTTCTTTTTACCATTTGATATTTTTTGCTTCCTTGTCAAAGATCAGGTGTTTGAAAATGTGTGGATTGATATCTGGGTTTTCTATTCGGTTCCGTTGGTCCTCCTGTCTGTCCTTATGCCAATACCAGGCTGTTTTTAGTGTGAGGAGCTATCTTGAACTGGAAGAGTAAAAGGTTTAGGGTGAGACAGGTGGGTCCAATGAGAGAGTCCCTTGAGCTTGGCAGCTGTGGGAGTTACAAGAATTACTTTAAAGGAGCTCTGCCATTTAGGGGAAAAGGGTGAGGGGCATTGGTCTGGGGAGAGAATAGTACCTGATCTCCTATTTTAATCAGTGGTGGGCATAAATTGACACATGGTTGAGGTAATGAGTAGTCATTAAAATCCCATAATAGGGAGCAAAGATGGGATAATAGCGGAGTAAGCAGGTGGTCAGGAAGGGGAGAGGTTTTAGGTGAGAGGCCGGGAGTTCAAAGGGCAAGATGGAAAGGGGGCTTTTGGGGAGAGTCCTAAATCTAAGAAGGGCCAGAGGCAAAAGTTTTACCCAGTCAAGATGAAGCTCCTATGACATCTTAACAAGAACATTTTTTAAGGAACGGTTAGTTTGTTCTACCTTCCCTGAAGACTAAGGATGCTATGGGATATGAAAATGCCAGGGAATGTTAAGAGCCTTAGATAAAGTTTGAGAGATCTGGGAGGTAAATTCTGGGTCATTACCCGACTGAAGAGAGGTTGGGATTCCAAACTGGTGGATGATTTCTCGGAGAAGAACATTGGAAACTGTCTAGGTCCTCTTGTTAGTGGTGGGAAACGCTTCAATCCACCCAGACATGGTGTCCACCAAAACCAGGAGATATTTAACTCACCTGACTGTGGGCATATGAGTAAAATCAAGCTGCCAGTCAGTTCCTGGAAGGGAGCCCCCGGCCTGGTGGGTGGGAAAATGGAAGCTACGATATTTGGTCTTGGGATCTGACTTTTGACAGATTTTTACACGAGGCAGTGATAGCTTTTAAGAACTCTAAGTCCTCATGGGTGGGTTGGACATAGCCTTGACAAAATAAAACATAGCTTTGCTATTAGGATGTCACTGCTTTCATGGTACACCTTAAAAGCCAACTCTAAGACTTCCGCCTGTGGAGTCAAGGGGCCTTCCCCAAATGTCTAAGTTTAACCTTAATGTCATCGTTGCACTGAGGGAAGAAAATGAGTCATGAGTAACTGTCCACCTTCTGTGGTTTCTAGGTCTAAGTTGTAACAGGGCTTTAGTGAGGCGTTCCAAAATTGCAAAAGGATTTTCCTTCATATCTTGAATGACTTCTGAGAGCTTATTATAGTTTACTGCCTTGAGGGCAGCCTTACAGAAACCTGCCAGAAGGCAAGTCAGAAACCCATCCCTAGCTAAAATCCCACCTGAGGTGTTATAATCCCTGTGCGGTTCCTGCTCAGGGACCGCCTCTGCCCCTGGAGGGTGTGTTACATGTGTTTGGTGAACCTCATCTGCATGTAGTCTGGCCTGCTTCCAAACTCACCTGTGCTCTTCAGGAAGTAGGTTATTAGATAGGACCATATAGATGTCATGAAAGATGAGATTATAAGACTGGGTGATACATTGGAATTGCTTCATGAAAGAGGTAAAATTAGATATATAGGACCCCAGTTTTTGTTCTATATGGGAGAGTTCTGAGACGGAGAAAGAGATGTGTACCCTAACCAATCCATCTCTGCTTGGCCACCTCTTGCAATGGGAAAACTGCAGCCAGCTTGGCTTGGTCAGGGTTGGGTTCCATAGCAACACATGAGTGTGTGAGAGAAGGGGTAAAGGTGGGTGCCAGGGCTGGGCAACTGCTGCGGCCAGGCTGCAGAGAGAAGGAATGATCCAGCGGGACTGATGGAGTAGTTAGTGCAGAGGCAGAGAGCTGAAGAGGGCAGTGGAGCCTGTGTGACACGGGGGCGAGCAGAGGGAGATGGCGACTCAGGTGACGAGCCAGCGGGAGTATCTGTCTGCTGGGGTTGGGAAGGTGTGGGTTCCTTAGTGGGGTCCAGAGCAGGAGCTAAGGAGCAGGAATAAGAGATGAAGGAGCAGGAGTAACTGCCCACTGAGGTCAATAAAGTGGGGGTTCATTAGCTGGGTCCAGAGCAGAAATGGAGAGTTCTTCCGACTCAGACAGCATAGCCAGGAACATGTGAGCAGGCGAACAACTTGCAAGGACAGAGGGCCTAGTCTTAGAGCTTAGATAGTAGGAGGCTTGGATATAAGGAAACACCTTCCATTTGCCTGTATGCTGACAGTAGTTAGAAAGTTCCCATAGTATATAAGGATCAAAGGTACCATTAGGCGGCCATTTTAAATTGTTATGTAAATTGTAATGAGGCCATTTTTTTGAACAAAGATGGACAAGTGTGGGATTCTGTAAGTAGGGCACTAAGGCCCGGGGTTTTTGGGCCTCTAAAAGGCATCCCAGGGGGGAGGCTGGATTGATGGTCTTCAATGGCTTGCTACCCATAGCTGAAACTGAAAACCCGCAAGAACAGCAACACCACAAGGCTTGTAGGTCATCTCCCCTCTATAGTCAGGGTGTAAATTGGCAGCAAACATCACAGGGCTTGTAGTTGAGCGTCCTCTATATACAGGTAGGGTGTTAAAGCCTGATTGGCTCCAGTCCAGGCGACTGGGAAGCCGGAGAGGCTAGAGACCGAGTGGTCTCTCACAGTGGGGACCACTGACGAGTGGTTCAAAAAAAAAGAAATGAAAGAGAAAAAGAAAAATCTGAGGCAGGTGGGCCAATCCTGGGTTGTCCAATCATGATTTCAGCTAAGTGAAGCAATCAGAGATGAATGTCAGCAAAGGGCTCAACTGTATTCATGAAGGCCATGGTTGGGGGCCGTCCCCTGTTTCTAGGAACACCAGAAGATTTCCGGGAGCTCAACAGTCAATTCCTTGGGTTTGGAGAAACAGTTAAGCTGATCAGAATGGGGAAACTCACCAATTGAAGCCAGTGGTATGCATAGAGGTCACACTCAGGCAGATGGAACACATGGTTGTTGTGGGAAAAAACCCGGTTCCAGATCCTGAACCCAGGAGAGGGGCGAGAGAGCCTCCTGAGTCTCACAAAATTACCTAGCGCGAGTGAAAAGGAAACATGGAACATGCAACAAACCCTCTTAGGAGTTTATTGGGGGGGGGGGTTGCATAGGCCTGGGGAGGTTGGTGTGCAGAGAGAAAGAGCTTGGAGATGGTGTGTCCAGCTTTTAAGGGCTGCCTAACGCATGCACAAAGTGGGGATGACGTGGTTACGTCATATGTAGATGACGGAGCTCACGCATGCGTGCAAGGGCTCACACAGTTGCGTCAGAATAGGTGATACAACCTTGCCACGCATGGGTCACACAGGGTCCTTAAAGATCCCCTAGGACTGTTAGGCACTTCTGCCTGAGGGCTTGTATGCACATGCATGGCACTAGAACCCGGAAGTGTCAGGTATGCTGTGTGACTGAATCATTACAGCCAGAAAGTGAAACGTCCCCCATGGGCTCACGGTCAAAGTCCCTGGTCCTTACTGTGAGTCCTCTTGGGAGAGGGTTTGGAATCTTCAGGATAGTGGCACAGCTAGCCAAAGTGGGCCACTTGGGAAAGACGTTGAAAGTTATGCCTGGTTCTAGCCGGAGCTTTGAGCTCTCTCACCTGCCAGGATGTGAATACCCCACGCCACAGGCTCCCACCACTACAAAATATGCTGTTCCTGCCACCATCTGTGATGAACTTGCCCTCTAAAAACTGTGAGAAGACATAAACCTTCCCCCCCAGAAGGTGCTCCTGTCAGGAATTTTCTCACAATGCACCACACACACATCACTGCACACACTTCACCGCACATACATCCCAGCCCACATGTCACAACACACACTGTAATAGTCTGTCCTGTCCCTTTAAGAGGTAAGCCCCGGCCACTCCCCACCCCCCCCCGCCGAAGCAAAGGGATCTTCCTTCCAGCCTGCCAGTTCCTTCTTTTCCATCTCTCTCCCAAAGAAGTAGCTTCTCTTCTCCCCCACACCTCTCTCTCTCCATTTCTCTCTCTCTCTCTCCCTCTCTGCTCTTCTCCCTTCTTCCCCTTCCCTTTCCCCTCCATAACCCACTAAATAAATACCCACTTTCTCTGCATGGCATGCCTAAGGTCGCAGTCTCTCACCCTCCACGCGGCTCCCTACCTGAGACCGGCTGCCTTTGTAGCCCACCATGGTCTCATGGCCGGTTGCCTACTGCCACCACTCGGGGATCTGCAGTGTTTCTGCCAATGTGCCCCTTGGGGAACCACAGTGTTTTATTTAAACCATAACACACACATCACCACACACACATCACAGCACATGTCACAGCCCACACATCATGGCACATATATCACAGCACACACAGCATGGCACAAACATCATAGCATACAAGTCACAGCATACATTAGAGCACACATGTCACGGCACACACATCATGGCACAAATGACACGGCACACATATCATAGCACACACATCACAGCACACACGGCACAGCACAAATGGCATGGCATACATGGCACAGCACACAAAAGTGAAATTTCATGCTAGTAACAGCGCAAAGAAGTCAGCAAGTTCAATTGCATTTCCAAGACAAGGAATCCTGACTCCCCAGCTGACTGCCTATCTTCCTCCCCTCCCTCCTGTTTTCTGTTTTCTCATTACATCGATTAACTTAAAAGGTCAGCATATCTGTGGCATCAACAGTGTTGAAAACAATGGAACAGATTAACAAGCTTCCAAAACTGACAATTTTTGGAATTAGAAAAGAATTACCAACTTACTCCTCCACGAAAATTCAAATTGTGGACTATTTTGTTGTTTTTTCACCTGTTTCTCCAAAAGGTTTTTCCAGAAGTCTTTTCCACACCCAGTCAAGTCTCGACTTTCCCAGACCTCCAGTTCCATTATCGCAATAAACTTTATTGAATGCTTCATTCACCCAGTTACTCAGGCTAAAATCTAGCCACCCCAGTCTTCTCTCTCCCAAACATCTATCCACTCACAGGTCCTATGAGTCGGCTTTGGGTTAGCATCATGGCTTCGTGGGTGAAGGTACGAGCTGTGGAATCCTCATGACCTGACTTCAATCCTGGAACCCACAGTGGAAGACAAGACATTTATCCTCTGACCGCCACACACGTGCCATGGCACACACCTGCCCATACTCAAAATACACACATCATACACACACATCATGAATCACACACATAAATGATAATAAGTAATTTTTAAATGTCAGCTTTGTTTTCTTAGGATTAGAATGTTTAGAATCTAAACCACTACGCCTTGATTCAAATGTGTCCAAAATTTTAGCACGCTTTAAATTTATCATCTTCAGCCAAGCTTAGTGGTCCATACCTGTAATCCCATCTCACAGGAGGTGGGGACAGGAGGATTAGTAAGTAGCTTAAAGACAGGACGACCACATAGAAAGCTTGAGGTCAGCCTGGGCTACACGAAATTCTGTTTTTATTTTTTACAAAATTAAAAAAAATTATCATCTTTAGTATAAATACTGCTTAACTTATAAGAAAACTCTTATGTACTACTCATGGGAATGCAAATTGGTCCAGTCATTATGAAAATTTCATAAGAAAGCCTAAAACATAGACTCATCATACAAATTACCCAACTATTATTACCCCTGGGTACAGACTGCAAAGACTCTAAATCAACTACAGAGATGTCTGCACATGTATTTACTGAAGGATTATTCACCATATCCAAGTCAAGGAGTCAGTCTCGGTGTCCATCCACAAATAGGACACATATTATACATACACAATGGGATTAGCAAAAAAAGAGCAATTATCCACAAAGAGCAGTATTATGCTGTTTGTAACGAAAGGGTCAGGAGGCTGCAAAGATGGCGCAGCAGGTAAGAGCACTCACTGTTCTTGCAGAGGACTCTAGTTCAGTTCCCAGCACCCACATGGTGGCTCACAGCCATCTGCAACTCCAGTACCAGGGGACCCAAGACCCTCTTCCGACATCTGTGGGCACCAGGCATGCACATGGTGCATGAACATACATGTGAAACACTCATACACATGGAATAAGATAATAAATCTTTAAAATGTTGCACTGTTTGCTAGAAAATTTGATGAAATTGGAGACCATTATATTAGTGAAAAAAGCCAGATTCAAAAAGAGAAGTATGTTTTCTCTCAGTGGTGGGCTCTAGGTTGTATATAGGTATATAACTTCCCCATCTCTCTCTCCCTCTTCTCCCTCTCCTCCTTCTCCCGCGGCCCCCCCCCCCCGGCGGGCTCTCACATACCTAACACATAAATGGTTAATCCAAGCTGTAAATAGAGCTCTGGTGAATGAATCAGCTTCCATGTCCAGCTTAGTCCATCCTGCACCATTGATGTGGTGGCCTCACAGAGATCTGAACAATTCTAGCTGTTGCTGCCAGAAACCTTGATACCCTAGAGATAAGCAGTAGGTTATTTCCTTTTGTTTACTGTGTGCAAAAGCAGCTGGGTTAACATGCCTAGCCGTCAGAACCCCAAGGTCATACCAGTACAGATGCCTGAATACTAACAGACATGGTGGCCAGCTTTGGGAGACCTTGAGCAATACAATACAGAAGGACATGACAGCAAGGTTGCAGCTACCTAGTTATCTTGTGGAAAGAGAAGACAAGTTAAGAAGACCCAGGACCTGCCACATGGCATCTGGAACAGCCCCTAGGGATGGGAACAACAGTCACGTGATGAGACACAAGCCTGATCTGTTGGGCAAATGAATGGAAGGTTTGCGTACAGTACAGCACTATGTTTTACAAGAGCCTCCTCCATAATACCCCCATTCAGATCAGGCTGAGGGGTCTGAATGACACCACTGAGGGCATCTCTCTTCTCTCAGCGGCAAGCCAGCACAACACTCTGAGTTAGTCAACACGAAGCAGGATACAGTTCATGGCTAAGCTTTAGAAGTTCCTTTTATAAGGTCACTTCCTGACCAGGAAGCTTTCATAATTGTACAAACATTTCCTTTTGGCCTTTGGAATGCAGAAAGTCAAAGTGTATGGGGCTTCTAGAACCTTCCCACAGTGTGTCCACTATAGCAGTATCCACCATAGCCTAGTGCCACATGTGCCCAGCCACTTTTCCACTTGTAGTTTTGCCTAATAAATACGATTTCTGCTCCACGGTGGGTACCTGTGTTGATGGGTGGCCCATGTCCTGGCAGAATGGTGTCCTTGGCAACTGGCTCCATTCTGCCTCTCCTTGAACCCAGAAGCCACAGGGCAGTTGAGGCAAGAAGAGAGAGAAATATAAAGAAGGCAAAGAACAAAGGAGGAAAGGCAAGGCACAGAGGAGCGAGAGCCTAGTATTCTGTGTGTGGTTTCAAAAATAGGAAAGGAAGAATGAGCGGAAGTTGGGAGAAGGAGAGGGGTAAGAGAAGACCCCCCCCCATTGTTCACAGCAAGGGGCTCAGCAGACTGCATGGGAAAAGTTTATTTAGTAAGAGGTTGGAGTAGCTGAGATGCTAAATGGGAGGTGTGTCATGGGAGTAACCCAGAGTCTCAGCAGCAACTATCCTCCCTAGCAGGGAGGATAAGGCAGGTTGCTGGGTAAGAACAGGAAGTGGTTTAGGGAGATGGGCTGGCGTGGGGAAGCAGTGTCCAGAGGGAGCTGAGATGAAAGAGATGGGCTTTTTGAGACAGTCTATATCTTTTGAAGTTTCTGGTCACACAAACACCCTTGAAATGATCACCTGGAACAAAGGCAAGCAGAGCCTCTTCTCATAAGAGATACTGAAAGACCTCCGGATGGGGAGACTCTCACTCAAGTCTCAGGATAACACCCCCACCCCCAGGAACTCACGAGAGACCATCCTTGCTGCAATCACACGAAGTTTATTGACAGGACAGGAACCAGTGCACTGGGGCCGAAACTCATTTCCCACGCAGGGGTAGAGTTCGACCCGGAGTAGC